TCGGGTGGGTTGCCCTCCGTAACTGGCATTTCCCTTTGGTGGCGAGCAAAGGGGAGCGTGGGAGAGGGTGATGAGATGTTGAGAATTCTCTCGCCCCTTTGCAACCCCGCCGCTGAAGGCGTGTGGGCGAGCTGTGATGTTTTGGGGGATCCAGGGAGACACCGGGAGAGTCCCTCGGGCATCGGGGCCGCGGGCTGGGTGCAGTGAGGAGTTGTGGTCTCGGCCCTCGCTGCTGGTCTCACTGCTCTGTGTCTCTGCTTCCTCCTCACAGATCAAGAGACAGCATGGCTGCGACTGCTGCCGTCAGCCCCAGTGAATACCTGCAGCCCGCCTCCACTGCCCAGGTGAGTCGGGGGGTCTCGGTGGGCTCCAGCTCCTCGCCGGGGCGGAGGGACGCGTCCTGGGGCGCAGGACAGCAAACGCCGCATCCTTCGGCCCCTCCTGCCTCCGCCGTAGCCAGCGTTGCCGCGTCAGGAGTGGGGCTGGTTGTGGGACGAGTCGGGGAGCCACGCTCTGGACTCGTTCCCAGCCCCGACGCCAGCTCTTCCGGAGAGGTGTTTCTCCTCCCCGTGCTGTGTTTTCCTGAAGGATCTCTTGGGATGGGTTAGCAGCTGGTATCATGGGGTGGTCTGGGAATTAAAACTACGCGGAACGCTCCAGGGTGTGTGCAATGGGTGTAAATGCCAGCAGGCTTGCAGGGTGTTTGCAGTTCTGTAGAGGTCGTGAGAACGTAGGCGCACGATTAAAAGGCAGTCACCATCCTGATGGCTGGAAGTAGCGTGACGAGGGTGAGCTAGAGGGACACGTGGTGTGGGTAATTAAGCAGTTTCCTTAATAAGGGACATCTCATTGGCATTGCTCTCAATAGCGTGTACCCTTTCCTTTGCTGACTTGATCTCCAGACGCTTGGCACAAGCCTCTGTCCTTAACTTTCCCATCTCCTCCCCGCTCCCCAGGACTCCCAGCCGTCTCCTCTCGCCCTCCTCGCTGCGACATGTAGCAAAATCGGTCCCCCCGCAGTGGAAGCCGCCGTGACTCCTCCTGCCCCTCCTCAGCCAACGCCTCGCAAACTCGTCCCCATCAAACCTGCTCCGCTCCCTCTGGGCTCCGGGAAGAACAGCTTTGGGATCCTGTCGTCGAAAGGGAACCTCTTCCAGATCCAGGGCTCGCAGGTCGGCGCCTCCTACCCCGGGGGGCAGCTGGTTTTTGCCATTCAGAACCCGGCCGTCATCAACAAGGGCACCCGCTCGTCCGCCAACGTCCAGTAACAGGCGGTGCCGCAGCTCCAGGCCGCGGGGGGACAGACCATCCAGGTCCAGCCCAACCTCACCAACCAGATCCAGATTATTCCGGGCACGAATCAAGCGATCCTCACTCCTTCCTCTTCCTCTCACAAGCCTGTGCCCATCAAACCGGCTCCGGCGCAGAAGGGGGGAGCTTCCCCGGCGCAGGGCGCGAGCAACGTGGTCAAGTTGGCCGGCGGCAGCAACGTGACTCTCACCCTGCCCGTGAACAACCTGGTGAACGCCGCTGAGCCGGGCACGCAGGCTCAGATCCTTGCAGAGAGCCCCTCGAAGCCCGGCAAAAAGACTCGAAAGAAAGCCGTGTCGCCCGCCCAGCCCCCCGCCAATTGCAGAGAGCCCCCCGAAGCCCGGCAAAAAGACTCGAAAAAAAGCCGTGTCCCCCGCCCAGCCTGCCGCCGTGGCCGTGGCCGAGCAGGTGGAGACGGTGTTGATAGAGACGACGGCGGAGAACATCATCCAGGCGGGCAACAACCTGCTCATCGTGCAGAGCCCGGGCTCGGGCCAGCCGGCCGTGGTGCAGCAGGTGCAGGTGGTGCAGCCCAAGCAGGAGTCGCAGGTGGTGCAGATCCCACAGCAGGCCCTGCGCGTGGTCCAGGCCGCCTCCGCCACGCTCCCCACCCTCCCCCAGAAATCCTCCCAGAACTTCCAGATCCAGGCGGCGGAACCCACTCCTACCCAGGTACCACCTCCTGTGTCCTGCAAGGGCCTCCTGCCCTGTTTCTCTTCCCAGCCCTCACCCAGGCTTTAGAAACCTGAAGTGTTTTGTGAGCCACCAGACAGCCTCAACTTGGTATCCAGTTTAGGCATCGCTTGTGTGGATTCTCTGATGTCTAGGAAGGGTTGGGAGCGTAACTGTTCCCTTGGCAGGGCTCTGTGAAGCCTCTCTTGCTGGCCACCTGCGTTTACGGGGCTGGTAGGAGCACAGTGTCCTCGAAACCTCTGCTGTGCCGCCAGCGCGGGTTGGGTGAGCCAGCCTGCTCAGAGGCTTGGGGGAGACGGAGGGAGGTGGGGGAGCGGCGCTCACAGCCTGCGGGCCTGGCTCTTTAATGTTGCCTTTGGACACCACGCTCCAAGGCCGAGGCGGCCCTTTGCTGCTGTGCAATGCCAGGACCTTCTTCAGGAGGCCCGCAAAGGCTCTTCAGATGCTCGGGCAGCTTCTCCTGCTCTTCAGATGCTCGGGCAGCTTCTGCTCTTCAGATGTTTGGGCAGCTTCTCCTGCTCTTTGGCTCATGGCAGGCCTGGTCTCCTGGGTTGTGTGGAGCGGGCAGCCGGTGTGCTGGAGCGGGGTCTGCCCTGTGACCGTGGCTGCTCTCATTCCTCTTTTCTCTTCCCACCAGGTCTACTTCAAAACGCCGTCGGGTGAGCTGCAGACCGTGCTGCTCCAGGAAGCCTCAGCCGTGACGGTGGCTCC